TCGAATTTACCGCGGTTCAGACGCGGTCCACACACGGCAGGCAGGCTCCCCCGTCGACTCCGCGGTACTCCTCTCGCTGACGTGGAGTACCACAGTCGACGGCGAGCACTTCCTGGTTCGAATTATCGCGTCCACACCAGACGCGATAAATCGAACCCGGAAGTTCGATTGCCAGCCGTCGAACTACCGCGGTAGTGTAGACAAGCCCTAACAGAAGTTGCTAGATCGCAGGCCCTGGTTCTCATGGGAGACTTTAATCACCCTGATATCTGCTGGGAGAGCAATACAGCGGTGCACAGACAATCCAGGAAGTTTTTGGAAAACTCTTGTGGGGGACAATTTCCTGGTGCAAGTGCTGGAGGAACCAACTAGGGGCAGAGCTTTTCTTGACCTGCTGCTCACAAACAGGGAAGAATTAGTAGGAGAAGCAAAAGTGGATGGGAACCTGTGAGGCAGTGACCATGAGATGGTCGAGTTCAGGATCCTGACACAAGGAAGAAAGGAGAGCAGCAGAATACGGACCCTGGACTTCAGAAAAGCAGACTTTGACTCCCTCAGGGAACAGATGGGCAGGATCCCCTGGGAGAATAACATGAAGGGCAAAGGGGTCCAGGAGAGCTGGCTGTATTTTAAAGAATCCTTATTGCGGTTGCAGGAACAAACCATCCCGATGTGTAGAAAGAATAGTAAATATGGCAGGCGACCAGCTTGGCTAAACAGTGAAATCCTTGCTGATCTTAAACGCAAAAAAGAAGCTTACAAGAAGTGGAAGATTGGACAAATGACCAGGGAGGAGTATAAAAATATCGCTCAGGCATGCAAAAGTGAAATCAGGAAGGCCAAATCGCACTTGGAGTTGCAGCTAGCAAGAGATGTTAAGAGTAACAAGAAGGGTTTCTTCAGGTATGTTAGCAACAAGAAGAAAGTCAAGGAAAGTGTGGGCCCCTTACTGAATGAGGGAGGCAACCTAGTGACCGAGGATGTGGAAAAAGCTAATGTACTCAATGATTTTTTTGCCTCTGTCTTCACAAACAAGGTCAGCTCCCAGACTGCTGCACTGGGCAGCACAGTATGGGGAGAAGGTGACCAGCCCTCTGTGGAGAAAGAAGTGGTTCGGGACTATTTAGAAAAACTGAACGTGCACAAGTCCATGGGGCTGGATGCGCTGCATCCGAGGGTGCTAAAGGAGTTGGCGGATGAGATTGCAGAGCCATTAGCCATTATTTTTGAAAACTCATGGCGATCGGGGGAGGTCCCGGATGACTGGAAAAAGGCTAATGTAGTGCCCATCTTTAAAAAAGGAGGATCCGGGGAACTACAGGCCAGTCAGCCTCACCTCAGTCCCTGGAAAAATCATGGAGCAGGTCCTCAAGCAATCAATTATGAAACACTTAGAGGAGAGGAAAGAGATCAGGAACAGTCAGCATGGATTCACCAAGGGGAAGTCGTGCCTGACTAACCTAATTGCCTTCTATGATGAGATAACTGGCTCTGTGGATGAGGGGAAAGCAGTGGATGTGTTATTCCTTGACTTTAGCAAAGCTTTTGATATGGTCTCCCACAGTATTCTTGCTGCCAAGTTAAAGAAGTATGGGCTGGATGAATGGACTGTAAGGTGGATAGAAAGCTGGCTAGATCGTCGGGCTCAACGGGTAGTGATCAATGGCTCCATGTCTAGTTGGCAGCCGGTTTCAAGCGGAGTGCCCCAAGGGTCAGTCCTGGGGCCGGTTTTGTTTAATATTTTTATTAATGATCTGGAGGATGGAGTGGACTGCACTCTCAGCAAGTTTGCCAATGACACTAAACTAGGAGGCGTGGTAGATACACTAGAGGGTAGGGATCGGTTACAGAGGGACCTAGACAAATTAGAGGATTGGGCCAAAAGAAACCTGATGAGGTTCAACAAGGACAAGTGCAGAGTCCTGCACTTAGGACGGAAGAATCCCATGCACAGCTACAGACTAGGGACCGAATGGCTAGGTAGCAGTTCTGCAGAAAAGGACCTAGGGGTCACAGTGGACGAGAAGCTGGATATGAGTCAACAGTGTGCTCTTGTTGCCAAGAAGGCTAACGGCATTTTGGGCTGTATAAGTAGGGGCATTGCCAGCAGATCGAGGGACGTGATCATTCCCCTTTATTCGACATTGGTGAGGCCTCATCTGGAGTACTGTGTCCAGTTTTGGGCCCCACACTACAAGAAGGATGTGGAAAAATTGGAAAGAGTCCAGCAGAGGGCAACAAAAATGATTAGGGGTCTGGAGCGCATGACTTATGAGGAGAGGCTGAGGGAACTGGGATTGTTTAGTCTCCAGAAGAGAAGAATGAGGGGGGATTTGATAGCAGCCTACAACTACCTGAAAGGGGGTTCCAAAGAGGATGGAACTCGGCTGTTCTCAATGGTGGCAGTTGACAGAACAAGGAGCAATGGTCTCAAGTTGCAGTGGGGGAGGTCTAGGTTGGATATTAGGAAACACTATTTCACTAGGAGGGTGGTGAAGCACTGGAACGCGTTACCTAGGGAGGTGGTGGAGTCTCCTTCCTTGGAGGTTTTTAAGGCCCGGCTTGACAAAGCCCTGGCTGGGATGATTTAGTTGGGAATTGGTCCTGCTTTGAGCAGGGGGTTGGACTAGATGACCTCCTGAGGTCCCTTCCAACCCTGATATTCTATGATTCTATGATTCTATGAGTCTGCTGGGGGTGAGGGAAGGGGGCAGGACCCTACATGCAGGTGAGTCTGTTGGGGGTGGAGCATACAGTCAGGACTCGGGGGAACCCCTACAGTCAGGTGAGCCTGTGGGGAGGTGGGACCCACAGCCAGAAAGGGAGATCTAAGGGGGGCCCTTCAGCTGAGGAAGGGGGCCCTGTAAGAGGGGGAGATCATGGGGAAGGGAGAGAGGGAAGCCCTATAGGTAGGGATGGGGGAGCTTAGTGCTGGGGGCACTGGCTGTACCTGGTTTGCCCCACTGAGCAGTGCACTGTCAGCCCCTGCAGGTGGTGGTGAAGCCATCGGGCTAGTGCTGGAGTGGGGCCCATGCTGTGACCTTCCATGCCAAGGTGGAGCAGGCTGCCATGCTCCAAGCCGTGCTGGCACTGCTGGAGACCCTGGAGGAGGAGGAGAGCGCCCTGCTGGAAGCCTTTATCCCCACCGCCCGCCTCACCCAGCCCGAATCCCCCAACAGCACCTCCCGAAGTAAGGGACTCCCCTGGCCAGAGATGCTGTCCCTGCAACCGTCACGATGCACTGAGTCCACCCCCATCCCCACCCTGGCCCAGCCTTTGGAGATGGCGCCATGGGGCAAGATCTGGGAAAAACCAGGGTGCAGTTGGGTTAGCTTGGGACATGAGGAGGGAAGGGGCGTGTGCCATATTGGGAATCCCACAATCCCCTGGGGTGGCTGCCACTGCCATATTGCCCCGGGGCAGGGGGAGCCGCTGTCATATTGGAATCCCAGAATCCCCTGGGGGCAGTGGGGGACAGCTGCCATACAGTCAGTGGGTCGTGGCCCTACTGGAATCCCAGAATCCCTCAGGACGGAGGGCACCACTCTGTGCAGCTGATTTGCATGAATCCCGATGCCATTTCTTTCTCTGCCCCCCTTGCTGCTTCTTTCCATCTCCTTCCATCCCCCTCCATTCCTCTGCCCTTCATTTTTCTCTTCTGTCCCCTCCATACCTTCCCTTTGTTTTCTACACCCCATCTCTTTTTTTCTCCCCTCTCTCCATCCCCACATTTCTTTCTCCATCTCTCTCTCTCTGTCCCCCCTTTCCCTATCTATCTGTCTTTCTCTCCCCTCTCTCCCTCTTTCCTTTCCTGCCCCTCTGACCCTTCCTTCTCACCTCGCCTCTCCCAGGCAGCACATCTCCGAGGCCTGACCTGGCGATCCGGATCTGCACTGTCGTCTGCAGATCCTGGGGTGACCAGCCTCTGCTGAGCCAGGTAATGGGGCAGCTGTGAATACGTGCCCCTCACCCCGCCCTGCCAATGCAGCTGGCTGGGTCCCGCGCCCCCACTTAGCCTCAGAATAGGGCAATGGTTGATACAGTGAGAAGCCGGTGATCACTCATGCCCTGACCAGAGACAAACACAGCAGCAGCCCCGGGTGTAAGCAAATGTAGTATGGGGCCTTTCCCCTCTAGGGGGTGCTGGCTCTAATCCAGGCCAAAGAGGGTGGGACTGGCTAGCTGGGAAGGGCGAGGAATGGGATATGATATTTTTCAGCTCTAGGGAGCACCATCTCCAATCTGGTCCAAGGGTGGGGGGGAATGCCTGGCTCAGAGGGCAGGGAATGGGGCATGGGGCCTTTCCTCATTAGGGGGTGCTGGCTCCGATCTGGCCCAGGTGAGCGACTGGCTGGCTCAGGGCAATGGGTAAAGTTATATGGATCCTTTCATGACTAACTTGGTCCAAAAAACAATGTATTTAATATGATGGGCAAAAATCTCAAAATGAAAAACCTTATCATCATTGTCACTTGTGACCTTTGAACCCAGGCCAGGTGGGGGTCAAAGGTCATAAGATCACCTTTGTCCTCCTGTCTGCAGAGTGTGCCACTGGCTTTGGGCTGGGTTTATTTTGTCTCATGTTCCCCCTCCACCCACCCTTGCACATGGTACATTCCATTTCCTGAGCAGGAGGAAAGAGCCTCAGCCAATCAGGGCTCTTGGAACAGTAAGGCAAGCGAAGGATCTGATTGGTTAGCACCAAGCTTGTTCACTGGATGACCTCACAGTCAGCTCCCACTGCGTGTGGTGGCGGGGGGGAGGTGCGGGGTTTTCATGGCGTCGGGTTTTGTCCCCCCCAGGTGGTGTGCAGCGTGGGACGGGCTGATAAGCCCCTGAAGCACCAGGCCATGGTGCCCCAGAGCCTGGAGAGCGGCCTGCGGCAGCAGGGGGTGACAGATGAGGCCCAACTCGCGGCCATCCATGCCCAGGTCAAGCACAAGGCCGAGGCTGCCATGACAGCCTTCCTGGAGATGGAGGCGGGGCTGTCGGTGGAGCAGCGGGGCGGCCGACGGGCCCAGACTGATGTGATTGGTGAGCTGCCCTGTCAATCATTGCCATTAACTATTTAGGAGGAGTCACAGATTCACAGGGACTCGATCATTATTCATCTGGCCAGGGAGGATCCAGAGCAATGGGCAGTGTAGGGCAAAGCTGGCTGTGTTGCCTCAGCCCCAGCAGAGACCCTCCCCCTTGCAGGCCAAAGTTGCCCTCGACTGCCCCAGCATGAAGAGCCTGGCCAGGGTAGGGACCAGGCCCTAGTTCTTTGGCCCATGGTCTGTTAAAGGCAGGACCAGGGGAGGATGGCACCTTCACGGGCAGGGATTCACTGACCAGTTGGGACCTTCAGAAAGGCCTGTAGCCACACGTGCATGTCCAGAGCAGGGGCCCATCTAGCCTGGTATCCCGTCTCTGACAATACCCATGCACCTTGCCATGAAGCAGCCGGAGAAGGAGCCTACCAGGGCAGTGGTTCTCAACTAGGGGGCTGTGAGCAGATTTCAGGGGGTTCGCCAAGCACGACCAGCATTAGACTTGTTAGGGCCCAGGGCAGAAAGCTGAAGTCCTGCTGCATAGGACTGCAGCCTGGGGCACCAAGCCCCACCACCCAGGACTGAAGCGAAAGCCTGAGCAACTTAGCTTCACAGTGCCCTCTGTGGTGTGGGGCCCCAGGCAATTGCCTTGCTTGCTACCCCCTAACGCCGGCCCTGGCTTTTATATACAGAAAAACAACTGTTGTGGCACAGCTGGGCCGTGGAGTTTTTATAGCATTGGGAGGGGGGCCTCAGAAAGAAAAAGATTGAGAACGGCTGTCCTAGGGGGTGTTCTGGAATAACCCACCCCTGTGAAACTTTCTAAGGAGTTAGACCAGGGGTCGGCAACCTTTCAGAAGTGGTGTGCCGAGTCTTCATTTATTCACTCTGATTTAAGTTTTCGCGTGCCGGTAATACATTTTAATGTTTTTTAGAAGGTCTCTCTCTATAAGTCTATATATTATATAACTAAACTACTGTTGTATTGTAAAATAAACAAGGTTTTCAAAATGTTTAAGAAGCTTCATTTAAAATTAAATTAAAATGTTAATCTTACGCCGCCGGCCTGCTCAGCCCGCTACTGGTCTGGGGTTCTGTTCACCTAGGCCGGCAGCGGGCTGAGCAGGGCCTGCAGCCAGGACCCCAGCTGGCAAGGGTCCGGCAGCCAGAACCCCAGACCGGCAGCGGGCTGTGCGGAGCCAGTGGCCGGGACCCCATAGCCCACTGCTGCTCGGAGTTCCATCCGCCAACTCCTGCCAGCCGGGATGCCGGCTGCCGGACCCGCTCAGCCCGCTGCCGGTCTGGGGTCCTGGCCCTGCCCACATACAGTGGGTACCTACCTTCTCCCTGGTTCTGGGCCATTCTCTTCCTCTCTCTGCACTGAGCTGAGGGTGGGAGTGCACTGAGCACAGGGCTGGGGATGAAGGGTCTGGCCAGGAGCTAGAATGAGGGAGGGGGCTCAGGGTTGGGGCAGGAGATTTGGGTGTGGGGCACTTACCTGGGCAGCTCCCATTTGGTGCGAGGGGTGCTGGTGGGAATGTCGGGGGGGGGTGCAGGAGCTCCCGTTTGGTGCTCAGGGTGGGGGTGGGGATGTGGGGGGTGCAAGAGTCAGGATGTGGGGGCACTGGGTATGTGGGGGGTGGTGCAAAAGTCAGGGCAGAGGGCTGGGGGCATGTGAGGGGGTGCAGGTGTCAGGGCGGGAGGGTTTGGGTATGTGTGGGGGTACCAGAGTCAGGGCTGAGGTCGTGTGGGGGGGGTGAAGGAGTCAAGCAGAGGGCTGGGTGTGTGCAGGGCACAGGGCTCAGGGCACGGGCCTGGGGGGCGTGCGGGGCTCAGGGCAGAGGGCTGGGTGTGTGTGTGTGGGGTCAGGGCTCAGGGCAGAGGGCTGGGTGTGTGTGTGGGGGGGGTCAGGGCAGAGGGCTCCCCCCACTCCTGCGGCCCCCAGCTGGCTCACCCACTCAGCGCCTCGCAGCGCACCGCACGAGCGCAACTAGCGTCCCCGGCGAGAGAGTCCCCTCTGGCTGTGTCTGGAGGAGCCGCTCCGGGTGGTGCATGACCCCGCGGTATGCGAGCTCCTCGCCCCAGGGCTCTCTGGCCACCACCGATTCCTGCTCGCCCACACCTGCTGTGCGCTCAGCGCCGCCGGGCCGCGTGGCTTTCCGCTCCTCCCAGCAAGTACTGATCCATGGCCACGGCCGGGCGCCTGCTCCCGGGGACGCTCAGCAGCCGGTGCTGCTGCCGCCGCCGGCCTCTCCCGCCTCCACCGACCCCGCTTACTGCCGCTGGGAGTTGGGACTGGGTCCGGCAGCGAACCCGCTCCCCTGGCGCGCTGCCAATCTACCATGGCCAGCTATACCAAGTTGGCTCAGGTGAGCGGGCCCCTCCCCGCCTCCGGGCAGGGCTCCTCGCTGGGTGAGGGGACGCGGGAGCCCACAGGCAGGCCGCTGAGGCGGCTCCTCTCTGGGCGGCGCGGGCTCTGCCCCTTACTGGCTGCGTGTCCTCGGGCAGGCAGCAGCGTGCCATTAAAAATCGGCTCGCGTGCCATCTTTGGCATGCGTGCCATAGGTTACCGACCCCTGAGTTAGACTATAAAATTTTCCTTTTAACATAATTCTGGATGGTCTCCTCAGCCGGGTAAATGTCCAGGCCTCTTTCTAAAAATCCAGCTAAGCTTTTGGATACACTGAGACCTTGTGGCAATGAGTCCCACAGGGCAATTGAGAATGAGTTTTTCCTTGGATCAGTTCTGAATTTGCCACCTTTCAGGTTCCTCGATCTGTCCCTGTATAATGAGAGAGGGGGAAAGGAGAGGTTCCCTGGCCAGTCTTCTCTACCCCCTTTATTTTCATAGAGTTTAAGGCCAGAAGGCACCCTAACCAGGGCTGTGGTGGATGCTCCATCACTGGCAATTTTTAAATCAAGATTGGATGTTTCTCTGAAAGATCCACTCTCATTCTAACAGGAATTAGCTCAGGGAAGCTCTGTGGCCGGTGCTGTACCGGAGGTCAGACTAGATGATCACAGGGATCCCTTTTGACCTTGGAATCTATGAATTTGCTTGATCCAGCACCTCCTGCCTGTGGGGGTCTCTGGTCAGGGTCTCTGAATTCATGTTGTGCTCTCCAGTTGGGCCTGACTGCTATTGCACACCCATCCTGGCTGTTCCCTTGACTTGGCCGTTCCCCATTGCAGGCGTGGATTTCCTCCTGACCTCGTCGGAGCAGGTGCTGCAGCTGATGGCTCTGGAGATGAATTCTCAGCTGTGCCTGGAGACCTGCGCGCTCTTCGAGTCCATGGGTCAGGCGGTGGGGGTGCCGGCAGGCGAGTCCTCACGTCCTCTGGTGGAGACGATGTTGCGGCGTACACAGTGTCTCCTCGTGGAGGGCAAGCACGTGTTGGTGATCGGGGCCGGAGGAGTCAGCAAAAAGTTCGTCTGGGAGGCGGCCAGGGCCTATGGGCTAAAAGTAAGATGCGGAAACCGGCCCTCACGCTGCCCAGCGCAGCCCCCGCCCTCAACCATGGAGCGGGGCCGAGGGAGATGGCTCTCCGTAGCCATGGGTCCAACCCAACATGGCATGGCCTGCATCAGGGAAGACAGAGCCAACGGAGGAGGGTGGGGATGCACCCTCCACACCCCAGCTGCAGGGGGGAGTCCTCTCTGCCCCTCCCCCACATCCTAGCCAGCCCCCAGCATCCCAGCGATGGGAGTGCTCCTCACTGCCTCCCCTGCATCCCAGCCAGCCCCCTCTGACATCCCAGCCATAGGGGGACTCCCCTGAGTCTTCCCCACATCCCAGCCACAAAGGGGCTCTCCCCTGCATCCCAGCTGGAGAGAAACTGCACCTCAGCCTCTGCCATGGGGCTGCTGCAGCACAGCCCAGGTCACAAGTGGATGGGAAAGTGCTTCTCCGAGGGTGAGCTGGGGATTATCGTCCCGTCCGTGCTGACACTTGTCAGGGTGGGTGCTGGAGGTCTGGCACTAGGGTAATGTGGGGAGTGATTGGGGGCAGGATCTCTGGAGTGCTGAGCTTCCCATGCCCATTGTGTGCAGCATCAAGTCCTGGGAGCTGAGCAGGCCCTGGAAGGGACATAAGCCAGTGTTAACCATGGTTACTTTTGTGCAGGTGGCTACTCCAGCTCTATCCCCTAGGGCTACAGCTCAGACCTCTCTTTGCTGAGGGGGTGGTAATGCATCAAAGGGCACATCAGGGAGCCCCATAAGATCTCTGGATGAGAAAATCACCTTAACTCTGACCCCTGGCTGTCCACCCACCATCAGATCCATTGCCAGTCTGGCCCACAGCCCCAGGTCACTGGGCCACCGGTGTCTCATCTCCTCCCACCAGGAACCTCTCCGTTCTAAATCACTGGGACCATTCATGTAGCCTGCAGCTCTCGCTCTCCCTTCCCTTCATTGTGCCCTCTCGTGCCTCTGCTTTGAGGCCGTCTGGGCACGTGGGGAGGTGGGCCTGAACATCAGCCGGGGAAGGAATACTAGGGATGGGGCGGGAGTGGTGTGGGGGGAGGGGAGACGAGTGCTTGACCCCAGGCAGAGGAGAACCAGGTCCCATCCCAGAAACTGAATTGAGGCAAATACAGTCTTTGATGGTTGCTGCAATCTGTGTAATGGAATGGTCTGTATCCCAGCCCAGTGTCACATCATTGTGCAAGTAGGAGCAAGTAGTCTGGCCCATCTCCAGCCCCAGTGGAGGGGGGGTAAAAGGTGGGCAATTCTGCACACAGCCCTGGAATGGCAGGACGTTCCTGGAAAATTGATCAGCAGTGGAATAATTAATAGTGCTGCTGTCTTTGGGCTCCAGAGTGGACACTTCATGGGAGGGGAGTTACATTTTCCACACCATGATCATTAGGCTCCGGAGTTAACACCCCCCAGCCTTGACATTGTTAGCTCCTGGAGTTAAAGATCTCATGAGGCCAGCTCACGGCTCTCTCAGGAACACCCCCCCCCACCCCCCGACACACACACACACAAATCCCAAGCAAATTGACTCTGCTCAGAGGAGTGAGAAAGGAATTCCATGGCACAGCCCCGTATCCCTGCCACTGATGCTGAGTGCAGTTTCCTAGGCTATGGGCACTCCTGTGTACCTCCCCAGCCCTACTTTCTTGACAGCAGCTCCAGGTTGGTTCCAGGCTGGGATTTGGTCCTCTGTGCCCAAGGTGGCAACCTGCCCAGGCAGGTTGGGGTGCCCATCTGTGTCAGTGCTGGCCCCGCCCCTCTGGCGGCTGGTCCCGTCCCAAAGCCCCTGCACAGAACTGGAAGCAACCATGCTGGGCTTGTTCGTGAAAAGCGTTGAATATGCAGATGCACTCCCCTCACCCCCCCCAACCTGAACGGAACGTCCCATCACCTTTTGCCTTGTGGCCCAGGAATGCCCCATGGGGGTGGGCACATGAGGCCCGTGAACACACCATCTCCTCCCCCCTACCCCATGGGGCCTGGGCACGAGTGGATCATTCCATCCTCTCCATGACACAAGTGGGCCATTCCATATCCCCCCATCCATCCTGGGTGTGAGTGGACCATTCCATCTTCTCCCCCCACCCACTGAATGGGGCCTCGGCAGGAGTGGACCGTTCCATTTCCTCCCCTCTACCATATGGAACGTGGGTGTGAGTAGACCATTTCTTCCCCCTTCCCGCCCCATGGGGCCTGGATGTGAATGGACCGTTCTGTTTCTCCTCCCCACTTCATGGGGCCATGGGTGTGAGTAAACTATTCCATCTCCCTCCCTGGATGACATGGACCTTTCCATCTCCTTCCCATACCGCTCAGGGGCATGGGCACACATGGACCCATCCCATCTTCCTTCTTAGAAATGCTTGGACCTTTCCTCCATCTCCTGCCCCCAATGGGGTCTGGACACACGTGGACCATTCCATCTCCCCCACGCCGGGGTTCTGGATATGAGTGGAACACCCTATTTGCATCCCACCATGGGGTGTGGATCCATCCCCAAGGACAGTCCCATTTCTGTGGTGCCTGGGGGAGGGGGCATGGAGCCTGTCCCGCCCCAATCCTTAGTGACCCGTTTGGTCTCTCTCTCACTTCTCTGCATCTCTCCCCCCGCCCCCCTTCTCCTTGCTCCCCCCCCCCCACACCTGCTCCAGATTCACCTGGTGGAGTCGGACCCCAACCACTTTGCCTCGCAGCTGGTGCAGACCTTCATCCACTATGACACCACGGAGCACAAGCGGGACGAGGAGCACGCCCAGTGGCTGGTGGGGCTGGTTCGGGAGCGGGGCCTACACCTGGATGGCTGCCTCTCCTACTGGGACGACTGCATGGTGCTGACGGCCCTGGTGTGTGAGCAGCTGGGCCTGCGCTGCAGCCCGGTGGCCGCCATGCGGGTGGCCAAGCAGAAGAGCCGTACCCACCAACACCTGCTGCGCCGGCGCAAGGAAGCCCCGCTTGGCTGGACCTCAGAGGCGCTCTATGCTGTTCCCTGCTGCCACCTGGAGAGCCACGCTGACGTGGAGCGGGCTGCTCGTCATCTCTCCTTCCCCGACGTCATGAAGCTAGAGTACGGGGCGGTCGCCGTGGGGGTCAAGCTGGTGGAGGACGTGCAGCAGTGCCACCTGCACTTCGAGAAGATCTCACGGGACTTGCGGGAGGATACGGATTTCCTGGGCATCGGGCTGGGCTGGGGCAACACCATGCTGCTGATGGAGTATGTCTCTGGCACTGAGCACGACGTGGACATCGTGATCTATGATGGGCGCATGCTGGCCGCCTTCGTCTCCGACAACGGGCCCACCCGCGTGCCCCACTTCACCGAGACGGCGGCCAGCATGCCCACCTGCCTGGCGCCCGACCGCGAGGCCCAGCTCGTGCGCGCCGCCTACCAGTGCTGCTTGGGCTGCGGCCTGACCAATGGCGTCTTCAACGTGGAGCTCAAGTTGACGGCGTCTGGGCCCAAGCTCATCGAGATCAATCCCCGCATGGGCGGCTTCTACCTGCGCGACTGGATCCAGGAGATCTACGGGGTGGACATCATGCTCGCCTCGGTCATGGTGGCCTGCGGGGTGCCCCCGCTGCTGCCCGCCCATGCCCAGCCCCGCACCCACCTGGTGGGTGTCATGTGCGTGGTGTCACAGCACCTTAAGGCCCTCAAGTCCACAGCCAGTGTGGAGACATTGCAGGCCCTGCATGAGCGCGGCATCATCCGCCTCAACCTGCTGGAAGATGAGCTCGTTGCCCGTGAATACGAAGGGCCCTACTGCAACGTGGCCTGTGCCAGCCCCAGCCGCTGCGAGGCCTGCCTCAAGGTGCTGGGTGTCTGCCAGGTGCTGGGCATCGACTTGCCCCACTATCCTGTCACCCACTTCCTCTCTCACTTCAAATAGCACCCAGGGAGCCCCGGGGAGGGGGCCACCCCGCTGCCTCTGTCTTGTCCCCCCCATTACCCCTAGGGCCTGCTGGGCTCAGATCCGGTTCTGGAGGAGCCCCCGGCCTCCCCCTCCCCGGTGTGTCCCCACCAGCCGGGGCACTGGTGCTTGCATTACGTGGCTCCTCTGTATCCCAGTGTTGTTTTTTTTCCTCACAGCTTCCCCTTTCCCCCCAGGAGGGAGCTGGGGGCCCCTGGTGTCGTCTCTGGTAGGAGCCACACCTGCCTATGTGTGTGAGACATGGGATTGCATCAGTATGGCATCTGTTCTGCTCCCTCTGGGGCTCCTCCAGCTCCCCTCCCCGCAGCTGCCCTGTCCTGATCCTCTAGTTCCCCTCCCTCAGCTGACCTGTCCCATCCCTGGAGGGATCCCCCACCCTCTCTGCAGACTCCTCCCTGACCCAGTGAGATCCTCCAGTTGACTCCCGCAACCAAGCCCACCAGCTCCGGGAAGGGCTGTAGGTCACGGACCCCAATCTCCTGGGCACGAGCTCAGCTCTGATGTCTGTTCAGCCATGGGGGGAGAGGAAGGATTGAGGGTCTGGAGCCTCCAGGAGTGGAGACTTAAGGCTACAAGTGGCCCTCCAATAACTAACCACTGTACGCATGTTCCCTGCTCCCCCCTCATGCTCCTTAGTCACCCTACTTTAGCAAATCACTGTATGCTACCTCCCCACCGTGCTTGTCAGCAACCCTACGATAACAAACCACTGTACTCAACCCCTCTGGTACTCAACCCTACTGATAGCAAACCACCATATGCAACCTGCCCACGAGCTCATCAGCAACCCACCAGCTAACAACAAACCACCGCATGCAACCCCTCCCGTGCTTGTCAGCAACCCTACAATAGCAAACAATTGTGGGCCAAGTCCTAGCACGGACCCTGCGATGATAACATGCCCTATGCAAACTTCTACAAACCTACGGAACCTGAGACACTGAACTCACCCCCTTGAGCCTGCAGCCCCAGCACTTGAACAGCCTGCACTGATGACGGAACCCTAGCCATGCTAACAAGCAATAACAGGGCTCCAGAGCAGCCCTATGCTAACTAACTAGCATGCCTGGCCCCCGGGAAGGACAAAGACCTTACACTAACAAAGCAGGCCCAACCCTCCAGCAGTTTTGAGGGCTGTGGATGCACAGCCCCAGTACTTCCTACAATAACAAACCAGCATGTGGAGCCCCAGTGCCTCTAAGTGACCCTATAATAACCAACCAGTGTGCATAGCCCTTAGCATCCATAAGTGACCCTATAATTAGCAAACCAGTGCCCTGAGAGACCCTACAATAATAACAAACCGGTGCACATAGTCTTAGTGTCCCCGAGTGATCCTACAATAACAAACCAGTGCATAGCAGCCCGAGTGACCCTTCAATAACAACAAACCAGCATGCACTGCCCTGGCATCCCTGAGTGTCCCTACAATCAGTGGTGAACTGGAGCCGGTTCGCGGGAACCGGTTGTTAAATTTAGAAGCCCTTTTAGAACCGGTTGTCCCGCGTGGTTCTAAAAGGGCTTTTAAATTTAACAACTGGTAAAGCTCCGCCAGCTCCCTGCCCCGCCCCTGGCCCCAGCTCACCTCCGCTCCGCCTCCCCCTCCTCCCCTGAACGCTCCGCCCCGCTTCTGCTCCCCCCCCCCCACTTCCCGCGAATCAGCTGTTCGCGCGGGAAGCCTGGAGGGCTGAGAAGCAAGCAGCGGCTTTGCGCTCAGGCCCAGGGAGATGGAGTGGAGGTGAGCTGGGGCGGGGGGTGCGAGGAGGGCCACGCGGTGCAGCAGGTGACCCCCTGCTCCCCCCCTAGCTACGCTACCCCGCCCCTAGGAGCCAGAGGGACCTGCCGGATGCTTCCCGGGGCAGCAGGGGCAGTGCCAGGCAGGCCAACCTGCCAATGGAAGGGACATGGAAGAAATCAGGACGGGGCTTCTCTCCCAACCATTGCCCCTAGGACATGGGCACTGCCAGCTTCATCTCCTGCAGGGGAAGTGTGGTCCAGTGGCTAGAGAACCAGGTGGAGACCTAGTTCTGCCACTGGCCTGGGCCTCCTTAAGCAAGTTACTTCCCCCTGGTGCCTCAGTTTCCCTTCCTCACTCTGAGTCTATATACCTTGACAGCTCTTTGCAGGAGGCTCTCTAAGTGCTAGGAATAGTGATCACACCTTTGTCTCCAGGGGGAATTTTCCCCAACTCACTGTCAAGGAGAGGCTGGCACATGTCCTGAGAAGGGAGGTGTTGGGGGTGGGGAAGGTCAGGACTCCTGGGTCCTATTCCCGGCTGCTTCGATGCAGCCAGCTGCTCCTGTCATGGATCCTGTGTAGGTTTGGCACCACAGGGGTTTCCATCCAACAGCGCCACCCTTTTCGCTCTGATGCCTGTGGGATTAGCTGGTTTGTCAGCCCCTTTGGGGCCCCTACAGGGTGGCAGTCAGGATTAGGAATGAACATTTACCTTGTCAATGGCATTGTGCTAGCACCCCAGCTGAGATCTGCACCCCACTGAACCAGGCACTGTGCAGAGGGACAGTCCCTGCCCTTAAAAACTCTCAATCTAAACAACAACCCATAGAGAGACAAAAAGAAGAGGAGTACTTGTGGCACCTTAGAGACTAACAAATTTATTTGAGCATAAGCTTTCGTGGGCTACAGCCCACTTCTTCAGAGGCATAGAATGGAACATATATTGAGGAGATATATATACACATACAGAGAGCATGAAAAGGTGGGAGTTGTCTTACCAACTCTGAGAGGCCAATTAAGTAAGAGGAAAAAAAACTTTTGAAGTGATAAAGATAGCCCAGTACAGACAGTTTGATAAGAAGTGTGACACTTGGTGTGAACACTTGGTGTGAACACCTCACCCTCCCTGATTGAACTAACCTCGTTATCTCCAGACTGATTCTTGCCAGCGTATTTATACCTGCCCCTGGAAATTTCCATTACATGCATCCAACGAAGTGGGCATTCACCCACGAAAGCTTATGCTCCAATACATCTGTTAGTCTTAAAGGTGCCACAGGACTCTGTTGCTTTTTGTCAAGATATCTTCACCCCCGCCCCCACACACACAACTCTCAGTGATTTCAGCTGCCAGTGGATACTGGATAGGTTCTTGCAATAGAGACAGTGTCTCAAAGAAGGTCTAATACTTAGAAACTATTTCATCTGTACTCTTTTCATACTATGATAGAAAAGCTAATCTAGATTCAATTGAAAGCTAAAATCACTGATACCTAGAACTAAGACCCTTAAACTGGACCACCCCTAACAACTCCATATCCTTATCCCCACCCTCTCTCAACTCATTGGGCTTTGGAACCCATGTCCCTTGCCTAGCAACTGCTATTAACTTGAGGGTGAGTCCCTCCATGCCAGGTACAGTTCTGCTGCCCTCGGTTCACACAACACGGATAACAACACTTTATTACTCCTGCCTCAATAACAAGGAGACTGGGGATCCAACACCAGCGTCAAATGATCATTTGGACAAGCAACAGAGGGTCCTGTGGCACCTTTGAGACTAACAGAAGTATTGGGAGCATAAGCTTTCGTGGGTAAGAACCTCACTTCTTCAGATGCAAGACAAGCAAACCCATCATGCTGAGCACCTAGTCCAAACCCCTGCTCAAAGCAGGACCAATTCCCAACTAAATCATCCCAGCCAGGGCTTTGTCAAGCCTGACCATAAAAACCTCTAAGGAAGGAGATTCCACCACCTCCCTAGGTAACCCATTCCAGTGCTTCACCACCCTCCTAGTGAAAAAGTTTTTCCTAATATCCAACCTAAATCTCCCCCACTGCAACTTGAGACCATTACTCCTTGTTCTGTCATCTGCTACCACTGAGAACAGTCTAGATCCATCCTCTTTGGAACCCCCTTTCAGGTAGTTGAAAGCAGCTATCAAATCCCCCCATTCTTCTCTTCTGCAGACTGAACAATCCCAGTTCCCTCAGCCTCTCCTCATAAGTCATGTGCTCCAGCCCCCTAATCATTTTTGTTGCCCTCCGCTGGACACTCTCCAATTTTTCCACATCCTTCTTGTAGTGTGGGGCCCAAAACTGGACACAGTACTCCAGATGAGGCCTCACCAATGTCGAATAGAGGGGAACGATCACGTCCCTCGATGTGCTTGAAATGCCCCTACTTATACAGTCCAAAATGCCATTAGCTTTCTTGGCAACAAGGGCCACTGTTGACTCATATTCAGCTTCTCGTCCACTGTAACCCCTAGGTCCTTTTCTGCAGAACTGTTGCCTAGCCATTCGGTCCCTAGGCTGCAACAGTGAATGGGATTCTTCCGTCCTAAGTGCAGGACTCTGTACTTGTCCTTGTTGAACCTCATCTGGTTTCTTTTGGCCCAATCCTCTAATTTGTCTACGTCCCTCTGTATCCTATCCCTACCCTCCAGCGTATCTACCACTCCTCCCAGATTAGTGTCATCTGCAAACTTGCTGAGAGTGCAGTCCACGCCATCCTCCAGATCATTAATGAAGCTATTGAACAAAACCGGCCCCAGGACCGAACCTTGGGGCACTCCGCTTGAAACCGGCTGCCAACTAGACATGGAGCTGTCATAACTATAAAGGGAAGGGTAACAGCTCTCCTGGGTACAGTGCTATAAAATCCCTCCTGGCCAGAGACTCCAAAATCCTTTTACCTGTAAAGGGTTAAGAAGCTCGGGTGACCTGGCTGACACCTGACCCAAAGGACCAATAAGGGGACAAGATACTTTCAAATCTTGGGGTGGGGAAAGGTTTTTGTTTGTGCTCTTTGTTTGGGAAGTTGTTCGCTCTTGGAACTGAGAGGGACCAGACATCAATCCAGGTTCTCCCCATCTTTCCAAACAAGTCTCTCATATTTCAAACTTGTAAGTAAAAAGCCAGGCAAGGTGTCTTAGTTTTACTTTGTTTTCTCAACTTGTAAATGTACCTTTTACTAGAGTGTTTATCTCTGTTTGCTGTACTTTGAACCTGAGACTAGAGGGGGGTCCTCTGAGCTCTTTAAGTTTGATTACCCTGTAAAGTTATTTTCCATACTGATTTTACAGAGATGATTTTTACCTTTTTCTTTAATTAAAAGCCTTCTTTTTAAGAACCTGATTCATTTTTCCTTGATTTTAGATCCAAGGGAGTTGGATCTGTATTCACCAGGAGTTGGTGAAAGGAAGGAGGGGGGAAGGGTCAATTTCTCCTTGTTTTAAGATCCAAGGGGTTTGGATCTGTATTCACCAGGAGTTGGTGGGAGAAAGGAGGGGATGGTTAATTTCTCCTTGTATTAAGATCCAAGGGGTTTGGATCTGTATTCACCAGGGAATTGGTGAAAGGTTTCTCAAAGCTTCCCAGGGAAGGGAATTAGCTTGTGGGAATGGTGGCAGCAGACCAGATCTAAGCTGGTAGTTAAGCTTAGAAGTCTTCATCCAGGTCCCCACACTTGTACCCTAAAGTTCAAAGTGGGGATACAGCCTTGACAGGAGCCTTTGATCACTACCCGTTGAGCGCGATGATCTAGCCAGCTTTCTATCCACCTTATAGTCCATTCATCCAGCCCATACTTCTTTAACTTGCCGGCAAGAATACTGTGGCAGACCGTATCAAAAACTTTGCTAAAGTCAAGGAATAACACATCCACTGCTTTCCCCTCATCCACAGACCCAGTTATCTCCTCATAGAAGGCAATTAGGTTAGTCAGGCATGACTTGCCCATCCATGCTGACTGTTCCTGATCACTTTCCTCTCCTCTAAGTGCTTCAGAATTGATTCCTTGAGGACCTGCTCCATGATTTTTCCAGGGACTGAAGTGAGGCTGACTGGCCTGTAGTTCCCCGGATCCTCCTCCTTCCCTTTTTTAAAGATGGGCACTACATTAGCCTTTTTCCAGTCATCCGGGACCACCCCCGATCGCCATGAGTTTTCAAAGATAATTGCCAAAGGCTCTGCAATCACATCCGCCAACTCCTTTAGTACCCTCGGATGCAGCGCATCCGGCCCCATTGACTTGTGCTCGTCCAGTTTTTCTAAATAGTCCCGAATCACTTCTTTCTCCACAGCGGGCTGGTCACCTTCTCCCCATATTGTGCTGCCCAGTGCAGCAGTCTGGGAGCTGACCTTGTTCGTGAAGACAGAGGCAAAAAAATCATTGAGTACATTAGCTTTTTCC